TTGAAAGAGGGGCGCGGGGGTGAGGATTCTTTCGAAGAATGAAGTATGTATGTGTTCATTCCAAGCGTGATAATCTCTGATATGTCTGCAGCACACTGTGAAGGATTTTCAAAATGAAAGCACATTTTGCGCCAGGGAAACTCGGGAAGAATTATGCTCAGACCATCCCAGTCTCCTGAATTATAATGCCATACAAGACGTGGGGGTGCTGAAGCAGTTGCTGGGAGGTTGTGACGATGAGTGTGTGGTCAGAATCAGCAGTGGAGCTCGAAAATCCATAGAGTATGGTGCTGAATTATTGGTGAGAAATAAGTCAAGTACATTGACTGAATGATATTGACATCGAGAATTCGTTTGGGTTCCTTGATAAGCCGTGAGTAATGACGAAAGCTTCAGCTTGTTGATTATCTTCATTCGTTTTCTTGTAATGTACGAGCCAATGTTGAATCACGTCAAGAACCCGAAGTGATTTTTGTAGGATGAATTATTTGGATAAGTACAGACAACAAAGATTTTTTGTTTGTTTCTGGCAATCGAGTTTGAACAGCGTTACATCAATTTCATTTTATCTCTTCACAAAGCTCTTTCTAGATGAAACGAGAGATTCGGTTCAGAATATAGGCAGATACCTCGTTTGAATCTTAAATGTGTTTGGAATTTGTACCCAGGACGAAGAATATAGGTCGTGTTGATGATTGAATGGATCCGCGTTTCATTCAGTTTCATCACAGTCTATCTGAAGGTTTTAGAAAAAATAATTATCAGAGTATAAATTCAGATACCCCTCGAATTCCACAGACATTTTCTGAAATGAGAAACCATTTTTTCATCACGACAGATCATAGTAGTCTGATGTAGGAAAATGAGGTGCGCATATCACTCAACTCCCTGCGAGTGAAATGAAGTAGTGGGCCTCTACGATGTATAACCATGTACAGATCACTACACCTTAGTGGAATTGCTGAGACAGGCCATCAGGACGATATCAATTTTGACTAGCAAGATTTTCTAACGTGATTTGAAATGTAACTATCATCATTCGATATTTCTAGTGCACACTATCTGAACTTGGGTGCTAGGAAATTCCTCGGTACTTCTTTTTGGATCTGAGACTAAACAAATAACAGCTGTCTAAAGAATTGACATTTACGTGAACCATATTATGAAACTACAGACTGACAAAAATGCAAACATTTCGAGTTGTGTTTCTACTCTGTGGGGTCCAACAAACACATATGTTTTCAGTTCCAAAGCTCCCTCGATACTCTTGAAGAACTCTTATTTCAGCGTGTCGTCTCACCAGCACAGACTGAAATTACTTTCCTCATTTTAATCTGACGTGAGGAAACTGCGATCAGAACAACTACTTGTGCATATTTCTGTAAAGGATTTCACGAGTATAAATTATTTTACACGAAATGAGAATTTTTTATCAACGTAGGTCCTGATAGAGATTCTTCATGGGATACCTACTGGACAATTATCTCAATTCTCTCGCTATATGCAAATGAACAGGAAAATATCAAGATACGTAGTTGAAAATATAGTATCAGTGATACTTCCTGATATCGCGACAATTTTTACTTTCGAGCATGTTGAATATGCTAAGACTCTGTGCCAAGAACTTATTCGTCCGATCATCATTAAGGAACGTAACTACGTCTCTGGATTCGAAAATCGATCATGAATGTTACACATTACTTCATTTATCAACGTGAAACATTTTTTTTTGCCCATTTGAAATCAAAAAGTTATTGGAATCATGATTCATCATGGCATTTTTCATAAATAAGTACGACGGCCTTTATCTCAGACAAATTGCATTTCAGGATATACATTGAGAAGGAATATTCTCAGATATATTTATGAAAACAAAAGAAGGATATTGTATAAATATAAAGAAATAACAAACAGGAAACAACTACTTTCCTGGCTATATGCCACGACGAATATTGAATTATATCTATTGAACATACACGATGAGAATTTGCAAACAAAATCTTCTGAAGTAGAGAATTTGCATTCTCCTTCACATAACGATATGCACATAATATCATTCTGAATATTCAATATAGAACAGATGAGGAATCAGAAGATATAGTTTTTAGATCTGATTCGATAGGTCATAGATAATCTTGATCTCATAAAATTTGATTGATCTGTCATCTGCAATCCAAATGAACTGATCATAACTGATCAATGGAATTTTCCTGGATAATGTCCGTAACTTCCAAGGGCTTCTCGATCTTTTTCAGTTTTCGCTTAGAAGTTTATCTGATTGATCCTTGTGAGAAAATGATGATATCGGGATTGTTGGGGACTATTCCCTTCTGTGCCTTTTTAGTGAGAGTGATAGAACGGGCTGTGGACTGTATATCTTGCTGGAGTTCTGCCTAAGGTTTCAATAGTGGGGTGAAGGAGTACTTGATGTTCATTTCAGAGAATATACAACAAAAAACACATTTCATATAAAGTCATGTTCTATATGACATTTCCTATTATTTCGACAGGTATTGATTAATTATTTATTCCTATGGAAGAATTGCAAAATCGACAAAAAGCACTGCAAAGGCAATTAGATGAAGAAGCATGTCTCAACAGAGTTGGATTGAAAACAACATTGAAGAATGAGGAGAAGACTGTTAAAATGCCACTCAATCATTTGATAAAAAAATTTCAACATCCAGATAACTTCTTTTAATGCTAATGTTATTTCGACATTTTCAGTAGTTCGATTGTTGAAGCTTATTTTCAATTATTGCTTCGAAACTTCAACTCAAGCTATGCTTCACTATATTCAGTAGTAATACTATAAGTACATCAATAGATAGATAGTTTCATTGATCCAAATACGAGCTTATGAAGATATAGGACGGGTCAGCACAAAGTTCATGTATAAATAAAATGTTTCTCAAAAGTCAGTAAACAATAGAAAAGTAGATCGAAAGAAAGAGAGAAAATATCTGAACAATAATAATGATCGATGATAAATTTCAGGTAAAATATTCTCCATAACATACATTGTCTTATGAATATTACAAGGAGTACAATTTTTGTGCAGAAAGTTTGAGATGAAGATTCTGAAGTTCGAATCGTATTCGATGCGACTATTTTTTTTTTGGAGTAGTCGGAACGAACGTCGAAATTTGAAAATGCGCTTTGTTTGTATGTAACAATATGAATCAGTTACTATGGAAATGGATATAATTCTGAATTTCTGATTGGTGGAGCTACTTTATGTATTTCCACGTATATACTCGGAATTACACAAGCTAGCTCATTTTAACGCTCTGATTGGTTTAAAATTATACGAATAAGAAAATAGTCAAGCAGATTTTCAGAACCACAGTGATATTCATTACTCCCATCATGTTGAGCTACTTAATAATAACTATTCACGTTGAGTATACTGAAATAACGAATGACTGCAATAAAATAACTCGTATGTTCTAAACTTAGAAATTATTGTAATAAAATGAAATACACTTTCGACCGCATATCCGGTACATATTGATATTCCACAGGATGACATGTGTATGATAAATCCATCCTACATATTTCCAGATAAAAAAAAATATTATTGGATAATTGCACAACTGAATAATTGTAGCTTACAGTAGAAATTCGCAGAGACCCATATTCATTTTATTTTTAAAGGTACGGTTGTGATTTGTCCAATATGTGACATTATTTTCCCCATCAAATCAAATATATATGTAGTTTTATTCGTCCTTTCAAATCATTCTCGCAGAGCAAATTTCCAGCTGCCGAGTACCATGCATCTCCTCGATTCTTGGAATTGACAGTTTTGGAATATCACGAATCAAGGGCGGCTCGGTGGTCGAGAGCGTGTATGCGCTGAGTTCGTATGGAGACTCCCACCGAGACATAGGTTCGAATCCTAGTTAGGCCATGGATGTTTGTTTCTGTATGCTCACCTATCCCCGCACAAGTTTCGACTTATGGGGCGTTTGGTCCCAGTGCTGGGACCAACGAGGTAATGCAATTGCAAAAAAAAAAAGAAATTGAGTGTGGACAAATTGAAGTGTGGATAGACTTTCAGATTCAGTAGCTGTACATGTAGGAAAGGAATTGAATTCAATCGATTGAAATCAAAAATTCAAGAAACGTTGCTTCCGTTTGTATTTTCAGTGAAAACTTCATTAAGCCTTTGTCAGTTGGTTCGGACAAGATCCACAGTATTTCTGTGAAGAATGTAAATGAATAGGAAAGTGTTTCTTTTCTGATTTGAAAAAAATAAGTCATTTCTCATCAGTGCATCGCCTCACTGTTTTTCGGTCGCATACGAGGTATGTCAGAGAATATTGATTCTCGTCAGGATTATAGTATTTTTATTCTCGACAATATTGAGAATTGTTATAAAGAAAAGTTAATTCATTTCGAAACCTGGGTTGAAGAAACTTACCATCTACAATGAAAATGTGGTTTCATTATGTTTCACAATTTCTCCAAGACCGATCCATATGAAAACTTCTTTAATTGCTAATTGTTGGAAAGAGAAGTCATTCTGCACAAAATCTTCTGCAACGCCTGAAGTCAGGACTACCAATGTCGGATGTCAACTTTCTTAAATGGTATACAAGATATGACAAAAATATTGATTTTGCGCAAGTGTCCCAGATATTTCACTTCTCGTTTTCATTCAAGGTCTGCTTCGTCGAATAGGAAATTATTTGAGAAATGAACCTCCGTTTTTCTGGAGAAAACACCGAGAGACACTATCTTCTGGTAGTCTTCTCTATGAGATTGTAGAGTGTACTAAAACCCAACTATTAGATAACTTCACAAAGTCGATCTTATTTCTAATTCGACTTATTGACGGTTTTCATGATTTGGCCGGTATAATATGACTCAACCCATGTACCAAAATTCCCTTACGAAAGCAATCGAAAGCATTTAACGAAGCAAACAAAGTTCTTGAAAAATCACTACTGTCTATCATCTTTCCTATCATTTATTGTTGTTATTTAATGTTTCAGATTCCACCATCTGAAACAAGAATGCAGTTCCTCCAACTTTCTCTGTTGGTTGTACTCGCACTGCTTGTAACGGACAGCAATGCAGAAAAAATAGTAAGTTTCATCATGTTATTGGTCTTGTAAATTCGGCCTTTACCCAAAATTTTGTATCAATAATGAAAACAGGTAGATTTCAGCATATTCCAAAGAAGGTATCCCTTTTATAGAGCTGATGCTATCATCGCGATCACAGTATTTGTAAGATGACATTTGGATTCACAATTCAAATTCGAGGTTTTGTAACAATCGTTGTTTTCAAATTACAAATCCCCACAACAGTTCAAAACTAGATGGACTTTCAACGCTGTATGTCTATACCGATTGAATTCTAAAGTTCCACACCGAGGAAAATTTCAATCAACTATATGTCAGAAATCGAATCATCTGGGAAAGAAACTCTGATAGCATAGGAAACTAACAAGTTCTCTTCATCTGTGTTTCAGAGTCGACTCTGCTGATAATAACTCAGATTATTTAAAATTGAACCTCGCTGCCGCTATCGAGTGCGTCTGTATAATGGTTATTATTATAATGGCAATTAAACAATGTTTTTGTAGTAGGTATCTGACTGCTACCGCTAGTGAGCGCATCTAATAATGGTAGTGAGGCAATCTCAGAATCATATGATATTCATGAAGGATATGAAATTTTTAATATTATGAATTCATGCTCATGAATCAAGAAATGCTTTTATTAATGATATATGTGTCATAATTCCACTGGGTGATACATATAATGTAATGTAAGGGCCTTTCTTTCTGAGTCCTTTTCTTTGGCATTTTTTGGACAAAGACTCTAGATACCCATGTCGGATTATTGAGGAGGCAAATTTCTCATAAAAGTGATTGATTTCGCGAACTTCTACAAACTGGAGTTTGTGTGCTACAGTGAATGAAGGCACAGGAGGTGCTTACAGAAAACCAAGGTTCAATGTTTTCGATCAGAATTGCATCACAAACCCTGAGTTTGACATGGTTGCTTGAAATATATTGTTTTTTAATAGCTGTTCCTCAAGTTCACTACTGAGGAGTAACACTTTGCCGAAACCAAAACAAATTTCCGTCGGAAATAGTCACTAGTGTTTTCATTTTAGGTCTGCAAAATATATAATCCAAACTAATTCATTAACTCCAACTGAAGAATCATCAAGAATACAGTCTCAAACACAGAAACAGATTTGATTCATATCAACTTCCTTCGCTTTTCGGTTTTTCGATAGAGGAATTGATAAAGTTAATTAACTTCACAGGAATATAAAATTTTCACGAATACCGAATACAGAGCTTATGAACACAGGCCAGGAATGTCTAAGAACATACGTAGCGACGGTGTTCTATGCTTTTGAGACAAAAAAGGTCGGGTGTATTCATCAATTTCAACAATAACAATAACTCGACAAATAAAAATATTGAGAATATAGAAAATATTGAATATACAAAAGAAAACTAATATCCAATCAGAAAACAAAAAAGATATTTCCAGAACATGTAGTCACTATACAGGTCTGGTACACATCGGGTATGAGAAAGTAACGAAAATGCAATCAATCTATATACAGGGTGGAAGAGTAACGAATGAACAGTGTGGTAATTTAAGTGTGCAACATATGGGAATTTTTTTGATGAATTGCACAACCAAAATACCAGATAGTGTCGAGAGTTGGTGCATGTTCAGTGATCATTTCAGATGCACTCAAAATGGTCACAAGTCAAACAGTATACAGGGTAGGTCAAAAAATTTAAAAATTGCTCAGGAGTAAAGTACCCTTATTTCAGAAAATTCTGAAAAGTATTAATGAGAAAAATCGTTTCAATTAGAAGTTATACCGAAATACCAAAATATGGCCTCCTGAGACATACTTGAGTTTCAAAATTTTTTTCGTTTATGATCTTCCAATTTGTATTTTTTTTATATTTGCCCTGAACACTGCCATATCTTTGTACGAATTCAAGCATATTTGTGCAATTAACTTGGATTTAATTTTTTTCTAGAATAACAAACCTTATGCTTGTTGCGAAGATATTCAGCTCAACTTGATGATTTAGCACACCATATGTTCAGCAAGGTAAATCATCCTCAATAATAATTTGCGAATAATTAAAAAACTCTCATTTAATGTGAACATTTTGTATTTGAAATGTTCATGAAAAAGCTGTACATATCAATCGACAACCATGATATAATAATAATAATAATAATTTATTTCCAAATTCAAAATAATAACAAGTTATCAGCATCATTTCCAAAAGAATTGAATTGAAAATAAGAAGAAAATCCCACTGAAATCTTTCGACTAGTTCGTGGGTGAAAACTCCGTATACTCAATACTTATTTTCTTGTTTTTGATGTGAATACATGTATATATGAAATGAAAAAACATAACATCATACAACAAAACTATTATAACATAATCAGTTAAGATATTTGAACATAGATTAAATTGATACTATAGGTACGTTATTTTTTACTATAAAATCATCTAAACCACAAGATAGTATAAATACTCACACAATACGATGAAACTTCTAAAATTACAATAAATAGAGTAGTGAAATCAGTGTAGGTAGGTGAATCGATCGACAATCAAAATTATAATATAATTATATAAAATTATTATATATGCAATAGTAATACAAACTCATGTTTAATAGGTATTACTCAATTATTTTTGTATGTCTTCTACAAGTCTATGTAACAGCGACCTAGAAGAATGTAGCAACCATTTTTTCAATTCTATTTTGAAGTGTTTTTCATAGCATATGTCTTTTATTTCTGTAGGCAGCATTCTGTAAATATATGGAGCAAGATAGATATATGACTTTTGTGTATTGGATTTTTTAGTCCTCAAGGTTTGTGTTCGCTTCGATTTTTTCTGTCTAGTATCATATTTATGTTGGATAGTAATCAGTTCATTTCTATTTTTGTGTTGTATCAAGAGGATTTTTTGAATATAGAGTTGTCTGATATCCATGAAACCACTTTCTTTGTAGAGATGATCACTTGAATTGGTATTTTTTTTTTCGTATGCTATTTTTATAAATTTTTTTTGAATGACTTCTAGTTGCTTCAAATGATTCTTGTATGTACCACCCCATCCCGCGATGCCGTATATAATATGGGATTCGACCAGTGAGTGATATATTGTTCTCATGTTTGATATATCCAAAATGCTTTTGAGTTTTCTGTATCGGAAGAGTATCAATATAAGTTTCTGTACTGACTATTTTATGTGGATATTCCACTTCAAGTTTCGATCAATCTCTACCCCTAAATATTTCAAATGATTGACTTCTTCAATGGTCACTTTTTCATCTTTCATTTTGACATCCAATGTTTTATAACTTGGTATTCTGGATGAGTTGCAGCTGAACGGTACATATTTTGTTTTTTCAAAATTAATTGTAAGGGACATTTGATCAAACCAAGTTTTTATTTTTATTAAATCTCTTTCGGCGATTCCTTTCACTTTCGTCCAATTGTCGGATTCATACTGAATAACGGTATCATCGGCAAAAGACGACACAATTCCAGTGCTATTTAAATTCAGGAGGCCATTTATGTAAATAGAGAAGAGGACTGGACCTAAGACTGTGCCTTGTGGGACCCCATATTCTATACGAGCAGCCTCACTCAATGAATCATTGATTTGAACATATTGGACTCTATTTTCGAGGTATGTTTTCAATAAATCAAGTGCAACACCTCTGAAACCAAGGTCCTCGAGTAGGTTGATCACAATATTATGATCCACCGTATCGAAGGCTTTAGCTAAATCCAGAAACACACAAAGAACTGATTTATCCTGGTCCAACTTCGAAAGGATATTGTTTGTTAAAAATAAGATTGCATTTTCCGTCGATACACCTTGTCTGAAACCAAACTGTTTATCTGAGAAGAATTTATGTTTATTCAGAAATGCCACAATCCGTCTTTTAATTATTTTCTCTACAACTTTAGAAATGTTGGATAAAAGAGATATCGGCCGATAGTTCGACACTTTTACCTTATCCCCTTTCTTGAAGAGGGGCTTGACCAACCCTATTCTCAAACTAGCAGGGAAATATCCTTTTTCGAACATCTTATTGATAATGTAGGTAAGCGGCTGTCTTATATATTTGGATATTAATTTCAGTACATTAGATGATATAGAGTCAAAACCTGGAGCCTTATTCGGTTTCAATTCTTTTATCATACTTTCGACCTCAATTTCATCTGTGCTATGGAAAAATATTGTTTGGTCGATGAATTTTCTTTCTGTAATCGATGTAGCTGATTTAGGAATATGATTTGCTAGTTCTTTACCAATATTCGTAAAGTATTTATTGAAACAATTAGCCATTTCTTTTTCATCCGTAACCATTTTTTGTTCGAAACTAATTTTTTCTATATTTTGATGATCTTTTTTTTCATTTGTGTATTTATTGATTGTATCCCATAATGACTTACTATCATTGTTATTTTTCTTGATTTCATTCTTGAAATAATCTATTTTAGTTTGTGACAAAAGTTTATTCAGCTTATTTTTGTATGTTTTGAATTTTCGCTCTTTTATTTCATTTCCTGGATCCAGTTGAAATTCTTTGTGAAGCTTTTGTTTGGTATGCGAAGAAATAACTAACCCCGATGTTATCCACGGTTGACGTTTTTTCACTTTGGTTTTATATAATATTTCTGTGGTAGCAACTCTAATAGCATCCTTTATTTTAGAGATTAAAATTTCTGTTGCAATGTCTAAATTCTCTGTTCTATAAATGTTATGCCAGTCTTCTCTCTCCATCATATCAATAATTTGTTTTTCATTCAATCTCTTGATTTCTTTCGTTTCAGGTTGTAATGATAATTGATCTTTTTTTATGTCTATTGAAGCGATGATAGGGAAATGGTCTGTTATATCAACTTCCAAAACAAATGATTTACATTTAGGATTTCCATTACTTTTTTTCAAGAGAATATGGTCTATACAAGACTTTGACACATTTCTCTTCCTAGTATATGAGTTTATAACTGATGTAAAACCTGCTTCACTGATTATATTCAAGTATTCATTACTATCA